CCGTTGGTACCACATGCATGTGCATAAAAACAAGTCGCATTTCATGTTGCATCCTGAGTTGTTGTATGGATGAATTAATTGAGTTAAATGTTGTTAAAGAGCTGTGAAGTGTTGATTTTGTGTGAACTAATTCTAATATACTATTTATCATGCATTCTATTATATTGTTCGATATCTCACCCCTTTTGTTTGAATGTTACCCCATGTCTGTAACGTGCAGGTAATCCAGAGTGAAGGTTGTTTACCTTCAGTAGTTCGAGTCGGTGTCGTTGCTCTGATACGTAACACTCGGGGGAATGAACGCTTGTTGCTTTAATGATGATTTTACTTCTGTTGCTGAATTTTAAGTTATTTTTGTTAAGTACTTGTTGATTTTAAGTTGTTTTCAGTTGGACAAATATGTTATGTCATTTGAGATGGTACATCATATCAAATGTAGGCTTCTCAAACATCGCCTGTTGTTTTTCGACCACCCCATTATTCATGACATAGTAGCATAGAGGTTTTATAGCCTGCTGATTCTTCGCACATAGTCTCCTCTTCGTCCCCAGATTCCTCTGATGCGAAACTATACTCATTCGTAAGGACAGACACAATATTACAATGTATAATTAAACCACCATCTGAACTATCTTCAAAGTCGTCAGATAGTTCATCGACCATGTTGCCATCACCAGGACTTTCAACTTTTGTTGGCGACGCACACACAACCGGAATCGATAACCTCTCTTTTGTTGGTCGACAGTGCACTCCCTTCTGAATGCTCTCACCCTTTGATGGAGCAGATTTTAATGTCGCTTCTCTTACAACTTTCTTGTTTCTCTGAGACCTTCTCCACTGAGTCTTTGTCATAGGATTTTTCCCTTTGTATGTGGGAGGAATGTGATACCTCTTTGAAGTGATCCCAGCTTCAACAAATTGGGAAGAACTAGATCCCTTCTCCATTATTTCCCATTTATGACTCAAACCCCAAACCTTTTTTACCACCTTCCAATTCTGGTTTTCCCCCCTTGGATAGAAAGGGAGAACCCAATTGTTGTTAGGAACATCACTTGGTGGTAAAAAAGTCCTTTGATACGGAAAACCAGGCTTTCCTTGAGGCACTTGGACATTGTATTCCCCCTTCGCATGGTCAAACACCACCTTGAATTCTTCTCTTGAGGGCATTTCTTCTTTAATGCCTCAATTTTCTTCGCAGCATTTTCATCATAGACTACGTTGCAATTTGGGCATAACATAGACCTGGAATTACCTAGATTGCACATGTTCAGAAAATCCACCAACTCCTCTTCAGGTTTGGGAAAAACAACCTTTATTAACTCAGCAATTGTTTCTTCACGCAATTCTTCATTTTTACTTTCACAATCCATTTTCTCCTTGTCGTCTTGGTTAAATTCAAGCTCTTCAGCAATATCAACCACCACCACTTCTTGTGGCTTAGACAAGTTTCCATTGCCATTTTTGAGAACTTCTATAGTCTCGACTATTGCAGTTATCATTGGATCACCGATCACAACTTGTTCTCTCTCAAAACCATCAGTGGTCTTGATTGTTAATGATGTGAGTGAATTTATAATGCCCTCCTGTTCGCCTTCGAGACCATCATTATCCTCGATCATCAGCACTTCCAGTGGTTCGACAAAGTGCGCATCAGCAACATGCAAAGGGTCTGAGTCGACCTTCATGGAGCTTTTTGGTTTCTCACCAAATTTCAATCGACCATCTTTCAAAGCTTTCTGAATCAAATCCATGAAAATAAAATATTGAGAAGTTATATGACCCAAAAAATTATGATACTTGCAAAAACCTCTTTTTTGTTTCTGCTCTAATGGTGGATTTTTACTGCTTGGAGGCACTATAATTTGACCATCTAAAACTAAAACATCAAATATTTCATCACATTTTGACACATCAAAAGTATATGGTTTATTACTAGACGCATCATTTTTTATTTCTTCAAATGTCTTTCCTTTTGACGATCTTATAGGTTTACATGCATACAGAGGTCCGACTTTCAATTCAGCCACATTAACTTCACCTTCCTCCATGTATTCATCCTCACACTCTATGGAATAATCTTATGTGTCTACATATGCAATTTTTCATTTTCTATGGTCCTTTAACACCCTAGCTTTCTCTGTTTTTAAACGTTCGACATATCGAACTTTATCAGCTAGTTGGGAAATATCTGTAATAGATTGAGAAATTTTCCTAATAGAATAATCTAAGCCCCCAGCGGCCATTTCGACCAGCTCATGTTAAGGAAATATAGTAAAGCATCTAGACTTTAGGACCCTTAACCTATTTAAATAATCTTCCATTGACTCAGGCGACCTTCTCTTGATTGAGGATAACTCTTTCAAACTTATCTTAGGTTGACCAGCATAAAATTGCTCATGAAATATGCCCTCAAGTTACTCCCAAGTGCGTATGGAGTTTGGAAACAACATCGTAAACCAAGTAAAAGCATTTTATATCAATAAATTAGGAAAATATCTTAATTTTAAACCCTCATCATTGGCGATATCGCCAACTTCTGTTTTATACCTAACAATATGTTTTATGGTCGACTCATTGGCATCACCAGCAAACTTTGTAAATTTAGGTACTTTACATCCCCTAGGTAATTCTACCTGTCGAATGTAATCAGGCAAGGGAGAAGAGTAATTGGGCCTCCTGAGGCCAAAATTTACTCCAGATCATGTTAATACTTCTTCTACCACATTCACTATGTTATTACGCTCAACAGTGGGATTTCTTAGCACTCGATCATCATCTTGGTTTCTCCTAACTACGACTGGCCTAAGTTCGTATTGTTCAACGAATTCTTCCTCTTCATAAGTGGGTTCTTCCACTCTTCGAGGTCTAAAAGGACGCTCATTGTTGCCCCCTCTAGTTCTTCAAAAACTCTCAACAACTTGTGGCGCGTTTGAGTTGGTTGGACCCATAATGAGTCAATCAACCTACCTATTTGGTCAACTACATGATTGAGGGCGACTCCTATTTATTCAGTTAAGACGTTTACTAACTCTAAACTACTCTCATCCATCTACTGCCTTAAAGCCATAACGGAAGTAGTATTTAAATATGGTGTCGACTGCGGCACATAACTAACACCACTTGGTCGACCACTTGGGACATAACTGTCTTGGTTTCCAGTGGCCACTGTGTTTTCTGTATATATGGTCGGGTTCGACTATAACCTAACCATCATGGAATAAGGCATACCATATTGGTAAGGGAAAAATGATGACCCTGGACCCCCTGGAAAGAGTGGTCGATTTGGGTCAAATGGAGATATCCCATGCCTAGGTTCTGTCATTGTGACTGTTGCCCCTAAACTATGAACAATTGCCGATCTTAAGGGAGACAACTGTCGCGCTTTGAGTTGTGGTACTTACTGGTATGACATCCACATTTTATGTATAAATCTGCATATGTGTCGTGTTTGTGTCAGAGCGTGGCATTTTAGACTTGGACAAAAGTTTACCACTTCTCAAATTCATACACACACTAACTATAAGAAACTTTGTAAAATTACACACAAAATACGAAATTATTAGCACTGTCCCACTGGGTGTGCCAATTTATTTACCTCTGGTTTTGGTAAACAATGTTGGTATCTTAACAGAATGTTTACTGGCAAGATCGGCCAGGGAATCTCAGTACAGTGCTTCATTTTTTGAGTGTTATCACAAAGTATGTTTAAAAGGGTTCGTTCGACTAAGGCGAAACGAATTTAAAAGCAATAAAGCAGGAATTGTAAAATAAAACAAAGAAGTTTTAAATTGTAAAAATAGATGACATAACATCAAAATAGTTGAAAATGGGTTGATTCAAACATACATCGCGCTTGCTTGACTCATTTCGCTCGTTCTCTTGGGTACTCTGAGTGACTAGCGTGTAGGAATGTGAAAGTTTGAACCTTTTACATTATGCACTAAGTGCTTTATTTATAATACATGAAAATAACTACTTTTCAACGGACTTCGCTTCTTTATGAGCTACATGTCTCTTGTAACTTCCTTCCATGAACTCACATTCTCCATCCCTACTATCGAACTCACGTTCTTAATTCCTGCTATCAAACTCATGTACTCCATTCACAATGCTTTGCTTTGCTAGTTACACCCTCTTTTGGGCTTTTTAACACTCCTGGGCCCAATCCATTCCTCACGAGGCCTCTTTTTTGGTCGACTGCGTCCAGAAGCACAAATTGCCCTTTATGAAACCTCTTCCGGTCGACTGCTTATGTGGTCGATTTCCTATAATTCAAAGTCTTCAAAGAACCTTTTTTACTTTTGGTTGGATTTTAACCCTTTGTGAAAATCCTAGCCAACAATGATCCAAATATTTTTTATTCAAAAATAATCTACAAGAAAAATATATTATTGATCTAAATATTTTTATATACGATAATTTACTATTGATCCATATATTTTTGAAAACGATACCTAAACAAAAATGATATTTGCTTACGGGAAAAACATCTATTTTTTATCTAAATATTTTTATATACGAAAAATAGTATTTATGATCTTAATATTTTTAATTCAAAAATAATATACGAGAATAATCTATTATTGATTTAAATATTTTTATATATGAAAATTTATTATTGATCTAGATATTTTTGTAAACGATATCTAAACAAAAATAATTTTTGTATACGAAAAAAATCTATATTGATCTAAATATTTTATATAAAAATAATAATATTTATGATTCGAAAATGAAATACGAAAAAAAATATTTATTACTAATATAAATATTTTTATATAAGAAAAAATATATTATTAATCTAATTTTTTTAATGTTCTATTTAAAATAAATATATTATGTATCAGAAGCATAACCGTGGTTACATACGGATTTGTTAGTAGATTTGATTAACGTTAATTAACAAGATTATAAAGAAGGTAAAGTTTCCATTCCATACATTACATTTTTGGTGGAGACACATGATCATGTAATAACACTAGACAAAAGATAGATTTTGTTCAAGCCCGAGACATAAATGCCCCAACAACACCAGCAATGAGAGCCGTAGGATCACCCAAAACCGCCGAGATCACAATCTGTACAGCAAACCCTGCAATCTCACAGCACTTTTTCACCTTCTTCCCTTTACTTCCTCTACTATGTGCAGCATACATTGTATTGTTCAAACATGGAATATCTCTATCAGCGTTCCTACCATGTCCCATATACAATTGCTGCCAATTCTCCACCAACATTTCCCTCACACATGCAACATGCATATTGTAACTCTTACAATTCGATCTATAACTCCAGCTTCGTCCTTTTCTTCCACAACGGTGACACGGCGAACTCACTTTCCTGTAAAGGTAGAGTTTCATTTCCCCGTCGTTGAGTACCGTTGGCAGCTTCGCGCAACACGGGTGGAGGTCGAACCCGCACGACTTGCAGTGGTATACGAACCCGTTAATGTCCTTCTCGCACGCGTTGCAGTAACGAGCTGTGTTTCCTGGTGGGGCTGACATGAATTGGAAGGTGCATTTTGTGTAGAATGGATGGTAGAGAGATGTGGAAGGTATTGCACAGTGTGTGTGAAGATCGTAGTTGCAAATGCTGCATTTGTAACATGATCCAATGCCTATTTCTTTGCAGCCATCGCATTTGAAAGGGATATCGTTGTGTTCGAATCTTAGTTTGTGTTGTGGGTGGCTGAAATGGGATATCTCAGTGTATTTCATTGTTCTGTTTGTGTATTTCACATTGGAATGTTAATGGGAAAATGTGTTATGTATTTATATGGATGGATCATTGAAGAAAGGGTAATTAGGTGATATTGTGCAACCATATTTGGTATTCTAAATGGCTTATGGTTGAAGAGATTGGAAAGGAATTATGCCTTATGAAGATGTGGTGGTGATGGTTGTAAATAATGAGTCATGGGAATCTTCATGTCAACCGAAGGTAAAGAGCAAGACACAGGGAATTTTGGATCATGCCCCACTAGAGAATAGTATGGACAATTACTTATACGTTTGTCCCAACATGCTGACCGCTATAACTTGTGTTCCAGTGGTTTATACATATCATTTATAATAAGTAAAATATTATGTAATATTGCATAGTGGAGTACTAGAGATCGATGAAGGTCGAATGAACTTAAGATATGATGTGATATAATAAACTTCTGGTACGGTGGAGTGAGAGTGGACTTACAAGATTAACACTATAGCGTTCAAGTCTATATATAAGTGAGAAAGTAGTTTGAGTATGTGAATGAGAGAATACTTAAAATGACGCGTGTTGTGTTTTATATAAGACGGGCAATTAAAATTGTCTCCATGAGGTCCAACGCCTAAGATCAGTGACCATTCAATCAAATTCATCAGTGGGAAGTATGTTGGAGGGTAGAATCTCGTATCTTCAACTCAGGTAAGTCTCACTTGTTTCGCACACCTTTTCGTGTGATGCTTGCTATTGGACTTTTAATTGTAGGTCTTACGAGCAATCCATAAGAGTTCCCCCTAAGCCATTGTTCATACTTGTAGAATGAGGGTTTGATTTGTCTTTATTTAGTCCGGCTTTCGGTATAAAGAAGTTAAAGAGCCTTGATGGGACATTAGCAACATTGGGAATAGGTGCATTAAATATCTTCCTGTCGTGATTATAATATTTAGTAGGGGAACTTCGACGTGTGGTCTTATGTCTGACAACAATGATGTCTTCTATAACCTAGAGTATTCGAGTATTCTGACCAATCTGACGTGAGCTCTTGATCGTTGGTTGTGCAATATGCGCTTCCCAAAATCTATTATTGAGAATCAATTGATTGCCTGTTGTGAAATATATACGAGGAGCTATAGAATTACCACCTCCCTTTTCGTTGCTGGTGGATCTTGAGAACGTTTCTTCTGTGTTTACAACTTCTTTCATCTTTGTTAAACTCTTTTGGCTATTTATTGCTTCAACATAGTTGTGTCACCTCTTCTTGAGATGTGTTCAATAAGCAAGCTTTTGAGTTCATCTATTTTAAAGAAGCAACTCAAAACCGTTCTCTCCTTCTACATTTGTTCACTCATGTAGGGTTTCTAAAGAAGGGGATTTTGAAGGAGAAATTCACCATCGACGATGGAACATTGGGTGGCTATACTTTGAGAAGATATAGAGTTTCTGGTCTTTACAAAATTCTTTGTTCAAGACGACTTTGATAGGGATTAGAAGCTTATTTTTATATCATATTCGTGCATCTTCTTACATTTGTTTCTTTTTATATTGTGACATGAATTTTAAATGAATAACTCTTCTCTAGGAACTTGGGACGTGATAAAATAAAACTCAGTTGTGTGGTTTGATCAAGAAAAGTTGAATAGTTTCCTGGCCTTCTCTTGCAAGGGTTATTTGGATCATGCCTTCACTAAGGTTGGTTCTTCCTTAGATTGGGGGTGCTTCCTCCATAAGCGAATAATAGGATATACAACAAATATGATGGGTGAGTCATCCTTCTCTATGAATGTTTGTGTTCTTCGATAGTTTTTTGCATTCCTTTCAATGACTTTGAGGTTGGTTTTCTAAATCATATGACATTAGCTCATTCATAAATGAACCCTTTGATTTGGGGTTATATCAAATTATTCCATTATTCCTGCAAGTATAAGAAGAGTATGTCGACCTTGACGCACACCTCTTTAAAGTTCGACACAATTTTGTTGATTTAACGCGGGGTCAAGGTTTGATTTATCTTTGACAGAATAGTAAAATGTCTGATGATTACTCTAAAAGCATGAAGAAATTCAAGGAGCGATATTACCTAGGCACGCCCCTTACAAAGGTGGCTCATTCTAGCATATGCAACATAGAGTTTGAGCCACCTTATCGATGTTTAGGTAAATTTTCTATGTTTTGGCATTTGAGTCATTTCCTGGAAGACGCCATTTCTTATGTTTATAACTTAAAAAAATTAACTCAAGAAGAAACCTATCGGGGGAGAAACTTGTCGGCTTTCTTTTATGCCATGGGTTTTTTTGACGATGTTTCTCCTTTTGGGGTGCCGCTAAAGAAACAAAAGAAAAAGTGCACAAAAACATGTGTGCTAGTAAAATACACTATCAATATATGGAAATACTAATTTCTTTAATGCTTTCCTAAAGATAATATAACATGTCATCAGAGGATGCTACGAATGAAAACAAATTCCAGTGTTGTCCTTTTGCATGGAGTAGCTATCAATATGAAAGCTATAGGAGGTGTTCCAAGCGCAATGTCCTTTGTCAGTCTATATTCCCCCAACCATCTTGTATTGGTCCTGAAAAAATTTCAGGGTTCTCCTGATTAACCCATGGAGGATGGTGCTTTGTGCTCCTCGTTGAGCATGATTGGGAGAATTCCTCCCATAGGTACGACTATTGAAATGTTCCCTAGTTATAAAGCATATGGAAGAATGCTTGGTAATCTGCGTAAGGCTGAGAAAGGTTCAAATCCAATTTTGGTCGCCTCGAATCATACATTTCTGGTTTGTCTTAGTCCACCAATGGGTAGGGAGTTTCAGACCCTTAGTTTTGAAGAAGATAACACATATTTCTATAGGAAAGCCAATGATGTTTTTCAAGAGGAGTTAGAGTAAATGGTATATCAAGTGTGTCAGACGTCTTCCATCTTTGCATTTGGTGCTTCTAGGAGAGGCGGTATATTTTTTCCTAATTGACATCTTTGCATTTGGTGCTTTTAGGAGAGACGGTAGCTTTCTTCCTAACTATCTCACTATCGAGAATGATAGGTATCTGGAGTATCTCACCATGACAAGCGGTCTGTTGAGAGTGAATGAAATTGATGTGTAGACTTTAGGTTACCCTAGCCTATTGGCCAAGAGGGTATAACCATTTGTGCAAGATATGGAGTAGAAATATGAAGCTCTAATGTCCGATAGGTTGACACTTTCTACAATAGAATTATCTCTTGCTAAGGATAACCAGGAATTGGGATCTTTCCGCAAGAAAATGAATACATTTGAGGCATCTCTAAGCAAGGCACGAGAAGGTTGGAAAAAAAGATGAAGATGGCCTTCAATAGATATGTTAGGAAAACCTCAAGCTATCCAAAGAGTATGCAAAGTCGTGGGAAGACAATTTCTCCATTCTATAGGTTTGTTTTGAAATGCCCTACAATAGGTTGAGTTTTTCCATTCCACGATGCATATTTCACGAGAGCAGATTTGTCTTGACAAGGAGATGGTGGAAGGGAAACCGATCTTTAGCTGGGATGAGTCGGCCTCGTAGTATGTTTTTATACGTGTCCAAGATGAAACTACACAGTGTAACACTTGCTGTAAATAAATTCCATAATTGTTGCTACATGGACTTTTGTTATTCTGTTTGCTTACCATTGTTTTTATCTATTATGGTGTTGTTTTAGTTCCCATAGTTTTTTCTCTAGGATTTTGATTACATTCGAGATTATGCCCGTAAATTTTGTTGGCATTCTCTAAGGACCATGGTCGTCGAAGGATCGGTGCCCATTCATTTCCCCTAAGTTAGAGCACGATTCAAGGTCGACATAGTGGGGACTCACTTACACACTATAGAATGGCTATATACCAAGATGGTGTATGCCATAACCACCTTTTATTTTGTGGTATTTATTTGTGTGACTTATACTTTCGAGTTTTAATTTCTTTTGTCATACGCTAAGAGCATTTGTGACAACACCCATGCGTCGTGCATATCTTTGGTGATCATTAGAAAAAGAAATTGTAAAAATTTATTTATTCTTATTCGAAAAGATATTACAAACATACCACATTATAAAGCATAATGTATTTTATGTATATAAAAAAACTTAACTAAGCGACTAAGTCACTGCTTATTGGTCTCTTGGTGTGCTTGTATGGTGCACCATGGTCGACTTCACCCTTCATTTGTAGCCACACTTTGTACATATCAAATCAAAATGATTCACATCATACTTTCCTTTATCTTCCTTTGATGGCTTGATCACCACTTATTTTAGTTGTTTGGTGAGTGAGGTCACATTGACTTCCATCATTTCCTATTTATCTTTCCCATTTTGGTCGAATTGCAAAGCCTTGTGTATCCTTAGTGTAATACCCTGAGTTTTCAATTAATTATATAATTGAATTTTTAATTACTTTTATTTATTTAATTGAGTGATAAAATGCTTTATGCGACTTATGTGATTTATTTAGTAATTGTTGGATTTATTGGGAATTATGAGATTTTAATTAATTAAAAAATTAAATAAGAGAAATAGTGAATTATGGCGAATCCTCACGCAAGTCCAGGCATTGCCACAAAAATAGGTTGACACGCACATGACGCTGCCACAAAATTAACCAATATAAAAACTTTTTTATACGAGCGAAGAAGCTCTGACTTTCTCATTACACCTGAGAATACGTAGGCATAAGGTTTTGAACCCTGGCAAGCACACTAATTAAAAAACTAACTTCTCCCCTCTTTCTTTTGTAAATATCATTTTTGTAAATATCTTTTAATGAACAAACAATGCAAACATTCCCTTAGCAAACATTTTAACCCTAGTCTATTAGGAGGTTTTCGTTGAGTACAACAGATGCGTGGGGGTGCATAATACCTTCCATTCGTATTACCGACTCCTGAACCCGTATTTGATTGTGATGACCATCTTATCATCTTTTCTTAGGGTTTTATCGTTATTTCTCATTTCCTTAGGAATAAATAAAATTTGATGACAACTTTGTGTTTATTTC